CACCCCTGTAACAATCAGTAAAACATTTTAAGTAAAGTAGTCCTGCCTTTGGACTAGGCTATGTAGTCTCTTATTAGAACAGCCTTCCAAAGGTTTTGGATGCTAAGATGCATATTATAAAGCAGCACTTGAAGCAAAGGTTTTGGCAACCCTTAGCACATATGTATTTTTATCAGTGAGCCATCACTGCATTACACCTCATACAGCTGTAACCACCTGTGAAAAATCATCAGTACAGAGCTTGCCGAAATTAGAAAGGTTCATCTGCATACATATGCTAACACATATCCAAACACAAGGTAGGTGTTCATGTGAAAAAGAGATAGGTATATATACCAGGCTTTCTGACTTATACAATCCAGGACTGTTTGTCAGGAAAACTTAGTATTGAGCCCTGGTCCTGACAATGATCGTGCACTTGAACAGTCACTTAAGGCTAGCTCTAAAAGCAGGATAAAGGTGTCACTCAGCTGAGTGCTGCACCTTTTCAGCTTCCAGTTAGTGGAATTAAATTTAAATTTCTGAAGTGATGTGCTCAGGCTCCTGAGAAAGCTCATTGACACTGGCCACCCATCCTTTCTCACGTGTTTAAGGTAAACAGAGTGATAAGCCCTGGGAGCCAGGCATTGACGAACTGTACTTAAAATCTATAATGCTTCCCACCTACACCTCCTCTTTGGAAATGGGAGGGAACGGCACAGGTTGCCACAGCCCCTTCTGCACCCCTGACTAAAGAGCATGTTGCTATATACAGCTATAGGGATTTTCAAGCACTCCAGTCAGAAGACAAAATAAGAGGGCAATACTTCTATCTACAACTAAAATGCTCCATTTTTCAAGCACTTCCAAGTGCAGTTTTGGGATCAAAACTATGCATGTTGAGTGAGAAGTCACCTAGAGATATCCAGTAGGAAATGCTGAGGACAGGGATGGTTTTCAATCCCACCCCTATTCTCTAGGGTCTAGGCACCTCACTCTGTTGCAGGCAGGAAAGGATGGAAAGGGAAGAGAAAGAGATGAACCCCATACTTCTCTAGAGCATAGTTTCTCAACCTGTGGTACATGTACTCCTGGGGATATGCAAGACACAGGCAGGGGGTACATGGGTACCCCAACATACTCTCTCTCTCACCCTCTATTCCTCTCTCCCCCTGCTTCCTCCTCTCAAAACTATGGAAAAATATTTGGTGCTTTAAATTCCCCAGCAATAATTTGGTGTTCAGCCCTCCTAGCTTTGGCCAACATCATCAGTAGCCCAGTTACATGCTTGAATTGTGCACCCCTGTTGTAAAAGTTGGCATCCCTACCCACACCAGATCAGACATCTGTCATATCACAACCTTATGTATACAGCCCTTCTTCCAACATATGGCACACATTAATTTGTAAATATATAATCCCCTGGAAAATTGAGTGTTGGGGTACTTAGTAATATTTTCAGAAGTGAGGGGGTACTTGCTACTTAAAAGGCTGAGAAACACTGGAAACTAGAAACTATGAAACTGCTCTAGAGGGCCTAAACCACTAGATAAGAGAGTCATTGTTTTCCCCTTTTCAATCTTTTTTTGGTACAACAAATCTTGAACTCTTCTCTGCAAAGATTCAAGAAGTTTCAAGAGGACACAAAGTATTTTCCATTCCAGGACAGCCCGTAAGTCTGGTGGTTATGGCTCCCTTCTGGAAGGGTAGGAGATATGTGTTTGATCATCACATAAGACGGGCACGCTCTCTGCCAGCTTGTTTTGCAAGTGCCAGCTGCCACTGCATCTTGTGTAAAGTCCGGGCCCCTGAGTATGGTTTATTAGATGGACTCTGTCTCTTAGGGAGACTCAAAACACTTCAGAGAATGTAGGTGCTAAGGTGGGTTGATGGAGAGGTACTTCTGAGGATGCATAAAATCAGAACTTTGAAGCGCCAGGTAATTTTAAAGGTTAAAACCCCCCGCCAAAACCTCTCATACATGCTTTAGGAGCTTTGGGCCCTCTGGGATTTGGCAGCAGTTGAACTAGAATATTCACTACCATAATTTTGGACTTTTTACCTTAAACCCACTTCAGTCATCCAAGTCCTTTTCTTAGATCTGGCCCTTAGTTCTGTTACGCACCCCCCCCCCCCTTTTT